GTGGTGATGCTGGTGATGGTGGTCATGATAAAGATAGTGGTTGTGATGATGATGATGATGATGATGATGATAATGCTGTTGATGTTGATGATGTCGAGGATCATGCTGATGATAAGTGCTGGTTATGATTATTAGGATGAGAAGGAAGATGGTAATGAAGATGGCGACGACGATGATGCTAATGATGGTGCTGATGTTGATGGTTATGGTGATGATGATGGTGGTGATGATGATGATGATGGTGATGATGATGATGATGATGATGGTGATGGTGACGACGAGGATGACGTGGAGGGAGCCGCGAGGTCTCAAAGGGATCTGCGCTGCCCTCACCTCTGCCGTGCCTCCCAGGAGCCCACGAAAATGGCAACAGTTGCGCAGTTCGCAGCCCCAGAGGGAGCAGCGCGGTTTCAAAGGAATTTGCGCTGCCCTCACCTCCGCCGTGCCTTCAAGGAGCCCACGAACGTGGCGACAGTTGCGCAGGTTGCAGCCTGCCTCCCAGGAGCCCACGGAAGTGGCGACGGTTGCGCAGTTCGCAGCCCTGGAGGGAGCCGCGAGGTCTTTAAGGGATCTGCGCTGCCCTCACCTCCGCCCTGCCTCCCCGGAGCCCACGAGCGTGGCGACAGTTGCGCAGCTCGCAGCCACCCAGGGAGCAGCGCAGGAAGATCAAGGGATGAGGGAGGCGGCAGGAGTGGAGACCACAGTTCTCTATTCAGAGCGAGAACCCAGCACAGGAGGGCCTGGAGCAAAAATCTGCATGAACAGAAACTGTTGGAGGTCCGCGCGGACTTCTTGGATCTGCGCTGCACCCCCTCTCTGGCACTCGGAGCGCGTCAGGGCCGCCGGAGGCGCCGCCAGGGGTGCCCAGCGCGGATCCAAGAAATCGGCGCGGAGTTCCATCATTTATATGTGTACGCTGTGCGTTGCCAGAAGCTGAATGCGAAACGCTCTTCACATGATGCTCAAAGACTGGGAGCGTCCAACGCTTGTGCTTATGTCGTTGCTTTAACTTGTCAAGCCCTCAGCAGCTTGGGACCCTCCCCCTCATGCGCGCCGCCGGCGATGAGCGCGCAGGACTGCCGAAGCAGCCCCGCCTGAGCTGGATCGGCTGCGCACGACGAAAAGGAAAATGCCTCCTCCTCCTCTTCCTCCTCATCCTCCTGTTGCCTCCTCCCTCTCCTCGTGCCTCCTCCTCCTGCTCCTCCTGCTCCTCCTCCTCCTCCTCCATCCTCCTCCTCCTCCCTCCTCCTCCTATACCTCCTCTCCTCCTTCTTGCATTTCTTTATCTCCTCTTCCTCCTTCCTCTCCTCCTCCTCATCCTCCTCCTACTCTTCGCCCCTTTCCTCTCACCTCATCCTCCTCACGCCTCCTCATCATCCTACTCCTACCTCCTCCTCCCTAACAATCTCATCAATCATACTCTCCTCCTCATCCTCCCTCTCCAACCTTCCCCATCCTCTCCTCTCCTCCTCCTCCTCCTAATCATCCTGCTCTCATACGCCTCCTCTCATCCTCCTTCTCCTCCTCCTCCTCATCCTTATCCTCTCCTCCTCCCTCCTATCCTTCCTCCTCCTCATCCTCCTCCTCTCCTCTCAACCTCCCACTCCTCATCATCCTACTCCTCCTCCTCCTCCTCCTCCTGCTCCCTCTCCTCTCCTCCTCCTCCTCTCTCTCCTCCTCTCCTGCCTTCTACTAATCCTCTCCTCCTGCCTCCTCCTCTTCATCCTCTCCTCCTCCTCCTCCTTCCTCCTCCTCATACACACTCCCCTCCTGACTCCTCTCCTCCCTCCTACTCTCAAACTCATCCTCCTCCTCCTCCTCCTCTCCTCCTCCTCTCTACTCTCCTCCCCCTTCCTCCTCCTCCTCGTGCCTCCTCCTCCTACTCCTCCTCCTCCTCCTCCTCGTGATTTGCGTGCATATCCTCCTCCTCATCCTCATCATCTCTCCTCCTCCCTCATCCTCCTACTCCTCGTGCATCCTCATCAGAGCCTCCGCGATATGGATTCTGGGCGCGGTTCCTGCAGTTAAGCCGCGCTGGGTCACGATGGAGCGCCTTTCATATCTTGAGACCGGAGGGGGAGGGGTGGTCTCTCGGGTTTTCGTCTCGGCGCTCTCTTAGGCACTACTGAAGGGGCCCAGGGGCACACAAATATACACACACATATACCAGGATTCCTACTATTTTATCATATGTTCTGGGTGTTCGTCTTCCCCCCCTCTTCCCATGTTTCCCCATATGTTCCTGGGAGGCGCCGATCAAATGTGTCTGTGTGCGTTTCCCCCTCTTGAACTATCGCGGACAGACCGGGGCTTGCCCATGCCATCCTGATGTCCCGTACTCCTGACCACTCAGGGAAGTTACCCCCCCTGAAAGGGTGTGCTCGAAAAGCGTGTCAGGGAGAGGCGTTCAAAGAGGAGTTGTCAGAATGGCTGTGGACAAAGGATTCCCTCTGGTTCGGATATTATTTGTTGTTGAATGCTGTTTTGCGGGCCTTGTTGCCTCTTCGCGATCTGTCAGCGCGGGCGATGGGGGAATGCCATGCACACGCTTTACAAATCCCACTTCACCGACAATTGACTGTCAGTGGGCCTCGCTGATGAAAACTTACATTGCGCGCGGTGGCCTTACAGAAGCCGTCGAAACCACATAGAAAATTGCTACGAGGCATGGTCGGCAGACCTGAGCGGAAAGGCGGGCGGGCGGAATTTTGAAACTTGCAGGCGGGCCAACACATTGCCAATCCCTGACACACGGAACAAAATCGCAACCGTAGCTCTGGTAGTCGTCCACCTCGTCTGCCCGCGCCACCGCTAGGCGGCTCAACCAAGCAGGGCCTCGCCCTTAGTCGACTTGGCATATGTGAACTGGTAGCTTACGAGGCCGACGCCACACTTGGATATGATGTCCGAGACGCAAAGGCCAATCTGGATGGCTACCACAGCATTGGAAACGGTGCTTCCAAACATCGGGACAAGGTACACAACCGGGTAGGTGCACCAACTGATCACCGTCATCGCCTGCGCAAGTTGGATCTTACCTTTGATCGCAGGATCGATTTCGCTGTCGGCGGCCGCTTTCAACCCAACCAGCAACTCGTATACGATGAACACGAAGAAACACATGGGCAAACCCGAACATTTCCAGCGCGAAGTCAGGTCGCCGGTCACGGTCAGCTCGCCATAGTAACCGCTGACGATCATCAGGGCGGAGCCGACGCCCAACGTCTTGGACTTGATGCTGTACGTCTTGTCGTCCAGCTCCAAGATCAGCAGAATTTCGATCGGTAGCAACGGCGACGTCAACAGCCAGTCCATGTAACGGTAGGCATCATTGAAAGGCACGCCCGTCAGCTCAGGGTCGGGCGTGCCCACCTGGTCTGTGTAGGCTTCCACCTACGAGTTGAAGATGCGGATGCAATGGTAGGCTGCTGTGAAAGTGACCAGGCCGGAGATGCGGACGGCGCTCTTGAATTGGCATCGTACCGCAGTGGAGCGGAACCACTGCTACAATGCGGTGGCCATCATGCTTGCTTGGGCGAACGACAGCGCGCTGCACTCCGCCGTGGCACTGGCTCATCGGGTACCTCACCATAGCTCCCCAAGCGCTTGACTCACGGGCACGGATATTGGCGCAGCTCTGAGGCTCGAGAATACGCACCCCGAATTCAACCATACTGAGCAACGAAGCTTCAGGAATTCCGGAAAGATCACCCCGGCGGGGAACGAGCGCCCTCACAGAGCGGAGCGGAGCGCCGAATGCGCCCGGGCGGCCCCCTCTTTTGGAGCGCGGCGGAAAGGCCGCAGCTGTCCTGGGGGACGCCCACCGCCCCCATCGGAGCGCGCCCCCAGAGCGGCGGCATCACATTGAAACCTCAGGGAAATCCCCACGAGAGGAGCGAGCTAAGTTCTCTGAAGGCCGCGGAGTCAGGGCGGCTCACGGGCCGCCCGCTGCCATCCCCCACGGGGAGCGGGGAAGAAGAAGCCCCTCCTGAGAGGAGGTGAATCCGCCCTCGCGACAGCCCTCTCGAGTCGGCTTCGCCGGCAGGCGGCTTCGCCAGCGGTCGGCTTCGCCAGCGGTCGGATCGGCCAATTCGGCTTCGTCGGGGTCGGCTTCGCCAGCGGTCAGTTTCGCCGACCGTCGGTTTCGCCAGCGGTCGGGCTCGCCGGCGGTTGACTCTGCTTGGCGCGGGCTGCGCTGGCGGCGCCCACCTGTCGCGGCCGCAACCTTCGTCGTCGTCGGCGGGCGGTCGGCTCGGGCGGGCGGGCCTTGACTGGCGGGCGGGTCGGGCGGGCGAGATGTCAAACTGGGCGGGCGGGCTAGCCAGCTGACGAACCCGCGGGCCCGGCCCGGCGGATCGGGCGACCGGGCGCCGATGGGCGGGGCGAACGGGGGAACCCTTATGGGCGGGCGGGCGGGACACTAATGAACGTGCGAATCGGGCGGGCGGGCCCTGACGGGCGGGCCGGGCGGGCGGCCCTGACGGGCGGGCCTGGCGCGCGGAGCGCCACAGCGGGCGAGCTCGCCAGCTGACGAACCTGCGGACCCTGACGGGCGGGCGACAAGAACAACGACCACAAGAGTTGACCACGACGACCAACGACGACGACGACGACGACGACGACGACGACGACGAATTTGGCAACAGCAATGTCGCCCGCGACGACAAACGAGCGAAGGCGACCACGGCGACGAACGACGACGGCGAGCCCAACTGCGGGCGACACCGAACAAAGGCGAAACCGACCGTGGGCGAAACCGACCGCGGGCGAAACCGACTCGGCGAAAACGACCTCGGCGAAACCGACAGGGCGAACTCGCCCGGGCGAAACCGACCAAGCGAAATCAACTGCGGGCGACGCCGACCATTCGAGCCTGACCGCACACCACATCGACCCGCCCCTTACCGATCCACAAGCATGCTTGATTTTCTTACGACGTGGAAAGAAGGAAGGAAGTCCGGTCTAAGGCCCCGGGCGGGCGGGACGCCTCAGAAGATAATGTCGACCTCGCCAGCGAACGCCACCAGCCCAAGCAACGCAATCTTCAGCTCCGCGACGCCACTCCCGCGGTTATGTCGCTGTTGTTCGCCAGCTGCCCAGGCCCCGCGCTTTGTAGAATCTCTGCGAGGCATCTTGAAGCCGCATCCACGGTCGCGACGACGGGCGCGCGAGACGCGATGACCCAAGGTCGGACACAGCGGCCTGCCACTCTGAGTCTCTCCACACGGTGACCTTCTTCACCAAGGACGAACAAACAGCTGGACGCAGCGACTCTTGAGGCCAATTTCCATTTTCGTCGAAAGAGCTCCGGTGCACATTTTTCGAAGCCGGCGTTGCCTGCGGGCCCCCGCGCCTTATGAGTGGCACGTTGGGCCCAGTCTACCCGCGGCTCGCCTTCCTGCCGCCCGCCGCTAACGACGCGCCGGAGCGCGGCGATCTGCGCGGCCTTGAGTCTGTGCAATTATTCTATTCAAGGCGTCCATGACTCAGCAGCCCACGGCGCGCTCTGCGACCGCGTCGTCAAACTACTACTGGCGCTTTTTCAACGAATACAACAACAAGCGCTTCAAATCAACAAAAAAAAAAAAAAAAAAAAAAAAACTCACCCAGCCACGACCAGATTCTCGACGTCAGCAAGGGTGGCGCCCCCCAGGAAAACGACGATTCCGAGAGACTTCAGACGCACTCCCTCCTTCAGAACAACGACGCAGAAACTGTCAGCTAAAGACACCTGGCCCCTGCGCTTGAGGTTCGGCCAGTGGGTCTGCACCCTGCACTTGCTCGGGCGCAGGGACAAACCCCTCCTCGCCAGAGGCCCTTAACGTCGGTATCATCCGCCAGCTGCACGCGATCAGGGTCTGATCATCCGAGAATGCCACGCGGGTAAGGCGATGGCCCCAAAGGTCTTGCCCAATATTGGCGCCAGAACCCCGCCTTCTCCACGCCGCACGCACTTCGCGCAACACTCCGTCAAAAACGAGGTTGAACAGTCCTGGCGATAAAGGGTCGCCTTGCTTTACGCCTCTCTGCACCACGAAGTGCCAACTCTCCGCGCCGCCCCAGAGCGACACGTATCTGTTGCCGCCGCGGTAGAAGTGCCGCAAGGCATTCACAGCAGCCGAAGCGATATCGTCCCGCATCCAGACGTCGAACAGGGCAGCATGGTGGACTCCGTCAAATGTTTTTTCCACGTCCAACGTGGCAATCCACAGTTCTTCGCCCCATCCCGACGACTTCTCAACAACCGTTCGAACTATGCGAACTGCATATGAGCACCCTCTCCCCGGTCGGAAACCGAACTGCTCTTCAGACAGCTTGGAAACGATGTCCGAGGCAAGCCAGAAAATACAACACGGCACTGAACAGCTTGGCCAACAAAGCTATCTGTCCATAGTTTTTCGGACGGAACGGATCTCACCTCTTGAACGCGACCCGGAATTTCGTAGCCGTTCATTCCTCTGGCGGCGCACGCTTTGTTTTCAACATTTCTGCCACCAGACCGTCGTCAGCACCTGTCCTACCACTCTTTGATTTTCGAACCGCTTTCAGCAGCTCCGCCTCCGCGACGCCGTCGCTGCACTCGTTGGACTGAGGCGCGGACCCGCTCCCCCCCCGCCTCGTGGCACAAATCCTCGAAGAACTAACCGAGCGAAGACTTCGGAGATCGACGCCGGGTTTTTCTGGGAAGCGCCGTTCTTCTCTCTGACGAACAAGGTGCGGTCTATGCCTATGTGTCTCCGCTGTACCCGGCGCGGCGCCTGCAAACAAACGCCCTTGACCACTAATGTTTCCAACTCCACGTCTTGTCGTTCCCGCCGTTGCCGACGCAACGCCCTCCAGAGTTGTTTGGAAAGAACTCGCCGCCTGTCTGGGCCCGCCTCGTTCGGGCGCTCTTCGCAGAGTCTCGGTATTTCTCGGTTGCGCTCGGGGCGGGCGTCGGCTGGTTTGGCTTGCCCGGTGCGCGAGGCGACCCAAACCACTTTGTCAGTTGGGTCTTCCTTGGGGTCATGGTCATTGAGAATGCTATTGAGGCCGTCGCGGAATGTTTCTGGTTCGCCATTTTTGCGCGGCTGATGGTTTCCATCCCACCTTCATTCTGGGACCTCGATTCCTCGTAGGCCTTCCCGCGAGAACAAAGTCAACCATGCATGCTCGATGGTCAAATTTTCCGTCAAAAAAATATCCCGGCAAAGCAACCTAACAGCGATGTGTAGAAGCATATCTGAAAGCATTCAAATCCAGTTGTCGAATTCTGCTGTTCTCGCAGTCGTAGTCGCATTCGCGATGACAGTCGCAGCGGCAACGGCAGTCGCAGTCACAGCCTCAGCCTCAGCATGCCTCAGCCTCAGCCTCAGCCTGCCTCAGCCTCAGCCTGCCCCAGCCTCAGCCTCAGCCTGCTTCAGCCTCAGCCTCAGTCTGCCTTCAGCCTCGGCCTCAGCCTCAGCCTGCCTCAGCCTCAGCCTGCATCAGCCTCAGCCTCAGCCTCAGCATGCCTCAGCATCAGCCTGCTTCAGCCTCAGCCTCAGCCTGCCTCAGCCTCAGCCTCAGTCTGCTTCAGCCTAAGCCTCAGTCTTCCTTCAGCCTCGGCCTCAGCCTCAGCCTGCCTCAGCCTCAGCCTGCCTCGGCCGCAGCATCAGCCTGCCTCAGCATTCAAAATGTGGCCCAGGAATGGAGTTCTGGGAACTAGAAGAACACGAAGTGGCCTACAGTTGGCTCCGGGCATTCAATATCATGCCCAGGAATGGAGTTCTGGGAACTAGAAGAGCACGAAGTGGCCTACAGTTGGCTCCGGGCATCCAAAATGTGGCCCGGGAATGGAGTTCTGGGAAGTCGAAGAGCACGAAGTGGCCTACAGTTGGCTCCGGGCATTCAGAATGTGGCCGGGGAATGGAGTTCTGGGAGGTCGAAGAGCACGAAGTGGCCTTACAGTTGGCTCCGGGCATCCAAAATGTGGCCGGGAATGGAGTTATGGGAGCACCAAGAGCGATTTTGCGAGGATGTCCTAAGCGATTTCGGCTTTGGCGGCAGCCTTTCCGGGTCCCGCCCAGACCCCCCTGAGGAGTCATGATGCTCTCTTTTGAGACCACTAGAAACCTCTCAGCAAGAGCTGTTAGGTAACAACATCCCACTGGCGAAAGATTCCGGATGCGATTTCACCATTACATGCATCAGTAAGCTGCCTCCTCACCCCGGTGCTCCGCAAACGGCGCGTCCACGCATCGCTCTTCGACTTCGGGAAATTATCCCGGCAAAGCAACCTAACAGCTATGTGTAGAAGCATATATGGAAACATTCCCCTTAAGATCCAGATGAGAATCCAGTTGTAGAATTCTTCTGTTCTCGCAGTCGCAGTCGCATTCGCGATGACAGTCGCAGTGGCAACGGCAGTCACAGTCACAGCCTCAGCCTCAGCCTGCCTCAGTATCAGCCTGCCTCAGCCTCAGCCTCAGCCTGCCTCAGCCTCAGCCTCAGCCTGCTTCAGCCTCAGCCTCAGCCACAGCCTCAGCCTCAGCCTGCCTCAGCCTCAGCCTGCATCAGCCTCAGCCTCAGCCTCAGCCTCAGCCTC